TAGAAAATCAGCATCAAATGACATGACACTACAGACGGAAAAATGAAATTGTTGAGTCTGAAAGTTAATACGAGAAAATCAATAAACTCTTAAGAGAAAATCAGTTAAAGTGAATACAAGCGTGCGATATAAATAGAGGCAATGCAAAACCTATGCATCAACCATGGAGGTGACAAAATAAACATGGTGTACAAGTTGACAATAATTCCGTAATGAAAAACGATTATTACCGTGCCCTGACGAAGCCGATCCAGTAGCTCTTTTTCAATAGCATTGTCTATTCTAGCCGCAATGAGCGCTTTCTTTTCACGTCGGATTTCCCTGGTCTCGATCTTAGACCGGATAGGCACAATCTTTTTTCTAAACGACACCAAATAAATATATTAATTGAAAACACCGCAGATAAACGAGTTTAGAGTTCACAATAAAAGGTGACTTCAAATGGATGTATCGGGTATTCTAAACTTGAGTTTAAGCAAAAGTAAATAAATGTCTGAATGGAGATAAGTATTTCCATTTATAATGACCTTAAGTTTAAAATCAATTGAAATTTATTTACTCCAATATTCAAGTAAAGAATGAGTCATTACACTGGGTCATACGGCAAATTAGTGGACTCAAATTAATCTACAAATAGTAACCAATCCAGTTTGGTGCTGGGAACTGTCCTTATTCTGTAAAATTCAGGGATTTGATCCCGCATTCGATGCACCACAGGTATAGAAATACCATGGCCCGTGGCCCGCTTATTTGATTTCACTAGTCGACTAGAAAAAAGGTTCCTGTTTTCGCGCAATAAATAATGTATCAGAAATTTAAATTTAAAATAAACTTCATCTATAACGAAAAACTTATCGAAAATATTGTGGTTACGCTGTAACACAGTGGCAAAGAGGTCAGCTTCGAACTCCAGAGGTGTCGAGTTCGAGTCTCAAGAAAAGACAAATTTTCGCCTATTAAAGGAATTTACCCCACCTCCCCCCAGTTGCTTCGGTGCAACCAGCCTAGAAACGGATAGCAAGTCCCTGAGACAGCATAGCATTCTGGTGCTATCACACAAGAATGGACAAGACGTAATATTAGGTTCTCTGATGCGATCGTCTCTTGCAGCTGCATCTGGTTGTTAAAATTTTCAGTTTGGTTGTTGTGTGACAATTACCACAATATGTAATTCGGAAAAGAATACGCACCGAATTTATATGTTGATTTATTGCGACTTGAGGTCATTTGACAGAGTATAACGTGATTCTACTTTTACGTACATAGTACGTCTACGCATCACTTAAGCAAACCAGGTAATTGTTCATGGCACCATGGTATTGGAGGACCTGTGATGCATAGAATACAACAACACCTCGGTGTTGGATAAAACAGCAACAATGCCAGTGGCATTCAGTGCCTTTAAACCCGGAGCACTACATATATACGTATATGGCAGCGATCAGTAAGTCATACACACCAAAGTCATCCTTCGAGTGAATCTTTACTGGCAATGGGTCTGTGGCTTGGTTTGCCAAAGATTCCATGAGTTACGGCGCGCAAATGAAGCATATTATTAAACAAGACACGTGGCATAACTCTATGCAATAAGCGATAAAAATTTATGATAGTAATATAGCGCAGCAGAGGCGATCAAATCGAACCGAATTCAGTGCACGTTTTTTCTTGTTTCTGCATCTTCTTAAGAGTTTTTAAGCTGTTACTGCTTGCAGAACTTTACGCTCTTTCACAATGGTTCCATTTAGAAACAAAATGCTGCTGCTCCTTGGTTGACACGGAGTTCTTCAAACGTTTTCATCCCATCGTCCGTTGTGTTAGGGACAGCCATGCATCTTAATCTGGTTTCTGACCTTTCATCCCGTCTATTTCACGTATCTGCCTACAAAGAGCTAAGGCAGTATACTACCCCGAGCTTAGCACTTATTCTTACATAACCCCAAAGTACAAGAGACCCCTGAATTTTGCCCGAGGTTGCACGCCTTGCTTAGAAAGCTCGCACACTTCGTACCGCAGGCCATTGAAAATGTTAACGATTTTCTGCTTATATATCCCCATTGAAATGGTTATTCCTCAAAACATTTTCGTACAAGGCAGAAAACATCAGAATGGGTTCTCGATTCGAGCGCTTTACCATACGTAAAAGTTAAAAACCAGTGGTCAGCCGAAACTGTGGCTCAAATGTTCGTCGAGGAATGAATGAACTGAATGTTTGACCCAAAATGGAAAAAAAACAATAACAACAACGGAAAGAGTTCAAGTAGGTAGTTAGGACTTTTATGAAAAAAAATTAGAATTGTTTTCGGATTGGTTATCTTTGTATATTTTCTCATACTTCGATCGCTCACTACTTCGAGATTGCGGTTTGCCAATATCTCTATAGAAGAGACCAGGGAGGAAATATAAAGAAAAGTATCATGTAACTTGCTAGTAACATTCTGACAATCTAGTAAAACTCATTCTTTACATTCTCATGTCGATTGTGTTCTCATACGCAAATGTTCGATATTTAGAGGTACTTTCTGTTCATGGCCGGTCCCAAGCCCGGATGAGAAAGGAGGAGGGTTGGAGACCGTGGCAAGTCTCCGTAAAA